CGTCAGTAAGACAATCAGAGACAGCGCGGGTGCGCTGATACACACTAAGGAGCTCGTTCGGTGGAGCGCTTTCAAGATCAGTTCAGCTGGCCTCCTGTTCCCGGACCTCTTCCTACTCAGGCGATGCAGGACGAGTCATAGACGGTTAGTTTAGAGCTTCCGTCGGAGTCCGTGGTCCGAAATGTGATCACAGCCCTTAATCGTTTTCGTGCCGCTGGACCGGATTCCCTGCCACCTGCACTATATAAGGATGGAGGTGAAGTCCTCTGCAAAGCACTGACCTCCCTACTCGAACGTATCTGGAAGGAAGGGAGTTTCCCGGCTGATTGGTGCGAATCGATTATAGTGGCAATATACAAAAAGGGCAGTCGCACAGACTGTTCTAACCATAGGGGTATTAGCCTCACGCCAGTTGTGACAAAATTACTGGCCTCGATTCTCGTTCGTCGCCTCACTGTGGAACGGGAATCTCGGGTTAGAGAAATGCAGGCCGGTTTCCACCCATGGCGTGGTTGCATCTAAACCATATACTCACTTTTTGGCAGGTGCTAGAGCAGCGCCACGCATACCGCAGACCGACAATAACTGTGTTCCGTGATTTCAAGAGTGCGTTCGATTCAGTTGATCGATGCATACTGTTGAAACTACTTGTGCAAAGATATTCCAACGAAATATGTAAACAACGTACGTGCTCTATACTCGAACACTACAGGCCGCGTCAGGGTGTTAGTGACCTGTGAGATAAATTTCAAACCACAAGTGGCGTTCGTCAGGATTGTCCGATTTTCTCGTTTTTGCTCAATTTCGTCGTGGACTCCATCATGGAGTGTTCCCTTACGGAATCTCACGATGTAGACGTTTAAATGCTTCCTGGTGAAAGATTACTTGATCTTGAGTATGCGGACGATATCGTCTTGCTTTTCGACGTTGTTGCGGTGGCACAATCAAGCCTGAATAGCCTGTTTAGAGTGGTCCCATTATTTGGTATGTGCTTTGCACCTTCAAAGTGCTAAGTGTTGCTGCAGGACCACCAGTCACTTTATGACCCCTTGCTAATGAGGAAATCGAGGTGGTTGATCAATTCAATTATCTTGCTAGCTGCATCAGCAAAGATAGGCGCATAGAAACTGACGTCAGCTTACACATTTCAAAGGCCAGAGCTGCCTTCTTGAACCTACGGCATCTTTGGCGTGTATACAGGGCCACAGTGAGGGTCGTTCTGCTCTATGGTAGTGAGACTTGGCCACTTCGGTCTGAAGATCTGCGACACCTTCAAGTCTTTGATCATCGTTGTCTGCGAAGCATTGCTGGAGTCGGATGGCACCAGCGTGTCCGCAATGATGATGTGCATAGGCGAGTACTAGGTAGTGATAATCATGTTAGCTTCGTAGAACAACAGCAAATACTGAATAAGTTGCGTTGGCTCGGGCACGTGCTACGTATGCCTGGTCACCGCTTACCTAGGAGGGCCTTATTTAGTCTGCCAGGTGTTGGGTGGCGCAAGGTTCAAGGTGGACAGAAGTTGACTTGGCAGCGGGAAATGAAGTCACTGACGACCAAACTGGGTGCCGTTGGTCCATCTTGCCTTTCGGGCTGGAGTCCACGTGACTCGCCATGTGCTTGGCTCGAGAATTTAAAGGATATGGTTTGCAAACGATGCCAGTGGCGCGTCTGATGCTGTCTCCTAATCGGATTGCCTGTTTAAAGTGTGTTTGGTGCTGAGTCATCTGCGGGGTAATGGCTGATTATGACGCGGGGCAGTGAAAGCCGCAAGGAAGCTGTCTCGCCGATGCCGTCTTATCTTTGCACGATAGCCAGCTGTTTGTGACAGTATGTTGTCTACACAAAGTGTAGGCGCCTTGATCCTGAATGTTTGCTTATGGCATTAAGGTTTTAAGGTAACTCCCCCTTCCTCTTCTTATTCTTTATTTCACAGGTCATAGTGGTTGTATGGCAGGGACGTATCAGTTCAAATTGCTGATGTACTGCTGTCGTTGATGATAATGTTGATGTCGGTGGTGCAGCTCAAGCTACTCATGGTCCCTCTGTAGGCGCAGATATCCTATGGCTGTCTTATAGAGGACGCTATGACAGGCAACAGTAAACGAATGTCGCAAGCCATGTATTTTTCGGCTATATACTTCAGCGCAGTTACGACAGTGTCACTTACTCTTAGCTTTTTCCGCATTACATTAGATCTGTCCCAATCCATTTCATCAGATTTGCTCCGTTCTTTTTATCCTTTATACAATTCCCCCGTTTTCCTCTCATTTTTGCGTTAGTCGGTTGACGTTCCCTGATTTACACTTTCACTTTCACCCTAACAATAGATCAGTATTCATACCCTTTTTGATTTGCTCAGTTGTTATTCTGCCATAGTACCACACTCCACGATCCGCTTCGTTCTCATCTGCACTTGTCAAGTAGAGCAAGAAGGAATGTGATCGGAAACCGATAACACATTTTGGATATCAGTCGAATTCTTTATTTTCAAGCCACCGAGTGGCGCCATGCAACGGTTAACAACCTCTTGAAGAAGTCCTTTTGAAGCACGCGTTGGATGAATATTTTGTGTCGCGTACTCTGAATGTTTCTCCCATCCTCCCTCTGCTAATCCATTGCTCTTATTGGTCCCTCGTCTTTTTCTTATCTTCCATCCTACTTTTCCTATTCCTTCCTTTCCCATACTGAATTTGACCCGATAACGTGAATTGCACCTGCGCTGCGCACTGTCTTCAAGCGGTCTTGTGGTCATCAACAAATTGACCCGAATCGATTGCTGTCCACGGATATTCGCAGAATCTGTATATATATATATATATATATATATATATATATATATATATATATATATATTACAAGTCTGTATACAGAAAATGTGCCATCGGAACCATGACAAAATGGAAGATCATAAACGTACGAAAAAAAACAAGAAAGTAAAAAACTACCTCTTTTGGTTTCGCACACGCCGTTTTGAGATTTTGTTTCTTGCTTACAAAAATATACCTTTAATTAATTGATAAAACGGTACAACACTGGTACCACTGATGTCTGTTTCGTGCCATCACATCCAGCTTCTGGAAACACAAGAATTCCGAGTCACGTGGTCCCCAACCTAAGAGTCGCACTGGTCTGACTGAAGCCAAGCTTAAGAGTGCTTTCTTTATGCACCTTTTCTACGTCATTGGTTGTCCACCGCGACATTTCTTCCAATCTTTTCCGGGAAGTACAAATAACACTCGCCGGGGAAGGCCATATGCTGGCATCTGCGTGGCCAAGCCAACGCATACGATGTTTTTGAACAACGTTTCGAGGGCTGTGACTGTTTCCTCCAATTACTCGTTCACGAATTCCCGTATTACTAATGGGATGTTGCCAACCCACACGAACGATGCTTCGCAGACAACGGTTGTCAAAAACTGACAGTCGTCTCATGTCTTCGGGGCGAACACGTCTGGTTTCACAGTCGTACAGCGGGACCGTACGCAAGGAAGCATTGTACATCCTGCCCTTGAGCTTGAGACTGACGTGACGACGACGCCATAGCTGTCCCAGTTTGATGAAAGCAAGGCGGGTTTTTGCAATGCGCTGTGAACCCTCATCTCCAACACTGCCACCAGCCGTGATGCGACTCCCTAGATAAGTGAAGCAATTCACTTATTCCAAAATGTCACCAGAAGCTCATTACTGCATTTCGGAACATCTAGCGCTCGTTGCACGACAACTTCGATGGCAACATTGAAGAGAACAGGAAATAGGGCAACCTTGGCGAGCGCCGCTGGTCACTGCAAACGAAAAGGAAAGTTTGCCATCAGCCCTAACTTTGTCCGACGTGTGATTGTATAGTTCCCTCTGAATGACGACAAAGTTGTCGGGCACCCTTCCTTAGTAGACAATTCCACAAGTTATCTGTCTACTGAATCAAATGCCGCGTGGATGTCCAAGAACACTACGATTGTTGGTCGACGGTGGACGTGGTGGAGCTCGAGAATTTGTCGGAGCGTCAAGATTTGGTCAGTGCGACTTCTCTAAGAAAACTGGTAACAATGAATAAATGCACTTATCTTGAAAATGTCATCAATTCCACTCACTACTCAGCTAGCGCATCGTGACTTACTTCTTGCGGCGGATATTGCTTTAGAAATGTATTTGAATAGTTAGTCTGTTTTTTGTCCAGTTTGCATAGTATTTATCCCGCTGCACACACCATTCCCTCACTATGATGCGTAGTGCCTTATATTTGCGTCGTCTGTTTTGATGATTGCTTTTTACTTGGCCACTTGTGCTAGATGGTTAGGGTGATGAAAGCTCCAAGCAGCCCCACTTTAATGCTGCAGTTGGTAGCAGAAGGCTGCATGATTTGTCTCATATACATTTTCGGCATGTACTAGGTCATTGGCCACTATTGATGACGGAGCAGTATGCGCAATAGCCCAGCTGTAGTAGCGGTTCTGCCGAGCTGGTGTTCAGCAACTCATCCGGATACTTTTTCTGTAACTCTGGAGCCTTTGATGCCCCCAGTTGAAATCAAGTGACTACTTGGGTACCTAACATCTAAGCTTAGTCTTACACCATGCATTGTTTTTGCCCCATTATAACGGCTTTAACAGTTAAAAATGGTCATCCTTTTTAAAAATATCCATGTGGGAAATTGGTCGTTTAAGTAATCATTCACTGAAGTCTTGGTTTCTCAGATTGGCTTTCTTAACTACAGTAGCAACCCCATCCTTGTCTCTCATCCGTGCTGCGCCTTTTTCTTCATTGTTTCATATCCAACTTCTTATCCTCTATTACGCTAGCGAAGCGACAAAGCCACCTCTCTCATTAGCTGTATTCATTGTTCTTTTTCACTGTTTACCTCCTTCGATTTACCGCTGTGAGCGCATCGGGTTTATCGGCGATTTAACGGCCACCGTGTCTCTTTTGATGACATCTCTGCAACTGAGCTGTGTTGCTTTTTTTGCCTGACTCTGCTCTATTTTTCTGTACTATGTACACAGACCAAAAACGCGGAGTACCATCGGGACATTGGCTGAAGTCGTTCAGCTTCGTGGATTTCGTGGGCTGTATTTGGGCCTTGTGCCTAATGTGATTGGTGCCAGTGGTTCATGGGGACTCTACTTCCTTCTGTAAGTCTGTTGCTTACACCCTAACGCCAATCCTATTTTTGTTGACTATTTCAAAGTTGACTGTCAAGATATAAACCATATCCTTTAGCAAATCCTGCTATCTATAATGCGAGTGTCGTGGTTGTTTATTTTTCCATAATTTGTCGGAATGCGACAACCATGGTGGAATCAGTCTGATGTCCATCGCTTCCAAATTGCTTGCCTCTGTCGTTTTTCACAGACTCTACCACTCGTGAACGTTAGATTCGCGAGGAGGAAGCCGGGTTTCGTCGAGAACTAGGCTGCGTCAATCACATCTTCACTTCGCGTTAGTTGTCGGAGCACCGTCACATATATTGGTGGCCCACCGTTGTCGTGTTCCTCGACAGCAAAAATGCTTTCGGTTCGGTGGATCGGTATGCCATCTGGGACTGTCTGCCAAAGAAAGGTGTCCCCGACAAGTATGTAAATATTATCCGAGCGTTATATGCGCGTAACTCTTGCAAAGTGAGGGCTTACGGCAAAGTTTCGCCGACCTGAAATATTCCCAGCTATGTAAACCAAGGTTGTCCACTGTTACCTTTCATCTACAATTTCGCTCTTAGCGACTTCATGGAAACAGCGCTCGCTGGACAAGAACTGCAAGGTGTGGAGCTGCTCCCAGATGAGCGACTTCTTGACTTGGAGTATGCTGATGACATTGTCTTCACATGTGACAGCTCCCAAACGTGCCAAGCGGGGTTGGCCAGGTTAACACTGGATGTCACCGTTTCGGGCTACGCTTTGCCCCCTCGAACTGCAAGGCTTTCCTCCAAGGTTGGCAGGGGCTGCCTCCTGCGCTGACCACTGGTTTGGATTAGCTAGCAGTCGTTCAAAATTTCGATTACGTAGGTAGTTGTATCAGCGCCGTTGGAATTGAAGACGAGGTCACAAACCGCATAGCGAAAGTACAGGGTCTTTTTGCTAACCTTCGCCACTTATGGCTCCAGCGCGACATAAATCTCTCCATGAAGAGTAGTGTACAATGCAGCAGTACATTCAACCCTACTGTACGGTTGTGAGACCTAACCCATTAGATCAGCCGACATAGACTAGTTGCGTTCGACCACCGGTGCCTTCACAGTTTGACTCAAATCTGTTGGGAACACCGTGTGAGCAATACGCATGTTCGACTCCTCATCTACTGCACAGAAAGAAGAAATAAACTGCACAGCACCGTTATTTCACGCACCAGGCTCCGATGGCTGGGCCACGTGTTGCGCATGCTAGCACACCGACTCCCGCGACGTGCTGTGTTTGCGCGCGGGGTATGGATGGAAGAAGAGATGGGGTGGCCACGCGATGACTTGGTCGAGATCAATGAAGGCCCTTACTTCGAATTTGGCCTCGGTTGGAGCCTCGGCTCCCTGGTTGGAGACCGAAGGACGACGAAGACGTTTGGCTGGATAAGCTTGTGTGCATGACAACGAGCCGACCTCCGTGGCGTTTGTGTTGTGAGTTTCTTTGTCTCTCCCTCACCCGCTTACCTCCCTCTCTTACCACAACCTTATTTACTAGGCATAATGTAACTTTTTGCGCACAATAGCCGGCTGCTAGCTCTCCGGAACGATGCCCATCCGTTGCTGGTGACTCAGCCGACGTTCCTCAGTTGCATCTTTTCTTTTGTATTGCGGCAGAATAGCTGTTTTTCACTTCTGGCTAACGTGTATGATGTTTGTGTGTATATAACTGGTCGGATTATGCACTCAGTACTGTATAGCCTTTCAGTAATGCTTTTAACAATCCTTGCATCAATTTTCAACCCAGTTTTATTTCTCCATCTGTTCCTGTTTCGAAATCACTTTCTTCTTGGCCATCGTTCTGCTAGTGGCTTACTAACCATGTTATTAACACGTCCACTTATGGCAGGGCATTGTGTCTGCTTTCATAATATTTCAAACGGTAATTTTTGCGCTGGTGTACACTGGAATGTTTACACCTGTTTGCCTTCTTTTTACCTTTCGTTGAACTTTTCATTTTCTATCCCAGGTACGCTGCGTTAAAAAGTTACGTCCAAGAGGGTGATGGAACGAAAGCATTGCCCGCTCTCCACTACTTCGGTTGCGGTGCTGTCGCCGGTTGGTTACGGTAGCGCTTTTTACTTAGCCATCCTAGCTTTGATTCCTATGATCGTAGCTTGGTTGCGTCTCGAAAACTTAATAGTCACTTGTGATCCCCGATGCTTTGACCCCATGGGCTTATCTTTCCCAACTTTTCAAGGACTAGCTGTGCTTTTTTCTTGCCCCTATCACATTCGTTCTTCACACGCGCACCACAGTCCCAAGTTCCGAAGTTCTTTGCCTTCCTGTTTCTCTCCGCGCCTCTTGCTTCAAATCATATTAAGTTGAGGTTGTTCATTATTACTTCTTTACCTCGTATTTTGGTGGCCCATCTTATCCTGAAAAATACATGACACTTGGATCGTTCAAAGGAAGCAGTCACTGACTCGTTTGACGCAGTAACAAAGGTATTCTATATGGGTGTGGTCAAGCCGAAGTGATTTCGCTTCCTCTCCAACACTGACGCATCCGTAAATTGCGCTGATGCTTCACGGCTTGGCGATTACTAAATTATCCAACCAGCTGCAATATATTTTTGACTTACCTTTGGCCCAAGCCATAGCGAAAAAAGATGGGTAGTTGCTCCATTCTTAACTTCACCGACTAGCTCGTTAGGCGGAATATTTTGAAGAGCAGTTCAGCAGTCCCGTTGCGACACTGGTATCTACTGAAGTACCTGAGCCCACATGGAAATAGCGCCGTATCGTTCGGGACTAGTTTAAAAATTAGAAGGTTAGACATTACTATAAATAATACTATTGTAGTAATAATTATTTATACAAGAGACTTACCTTATGAGCTTGAATGCTGGCCGTGAGTCCAATTCAACTTGCGGTGAGGGCCGTGTCGAGCCCTGAGCACATGAATGGAAACGTTGTCCGGTTGTGCGTGATGCGTTTTGATGGGACATTATATCTGCCCTAAGTGAAAGCTACACCGCATTCTTAATCGCCTGTGGTTGTCACGTGCTTTGATGCGCCGGCGTGGCCATGGATAGAGGTCAAATGCTGTTATGGCGTTCGCTTGCGCATCACGTGGTTTTTTACCAAACATTTGCCGTGCGTCTTGTCAAATGGAAGTACAACTATGAACTTGGCTGCTCCGTTTTGGGCGGATCCGCGAGGTGGCCAGTCCTTGACGTTGCAATCACGAATAACTTGACTGACTTGGTCGTGTTGGCACATTCCGTCTTCGTGAATCAGGGCCTGGGAATGGTCCACTTCAATGGTTGGCGCTTTTTCAAACATAGTGAATTTGTTCAGTTATTAGCTTTTTCGCCTTCGGTTTCTTGCATCTGGCTGTTAATTTTCACCATCCAGATTAGTTTAACGAGATTCTTTCTTGCTTGTTTTTCTCCCCCTCACATTTCTATTAATATCCCTTTCCATACCTTATTATTCGGGCGTCGTAAGTCGCGGAACCTAGATCCACCGTACTTCAGCCCTCGGATCATAGTTGTTCGACTGAACTCGATTTAATGTCTGTTATAAAGGAACTGTTCTAATTCATCCCGTTAAATCCCTCAGTCAAAATACTATTTAGCGACACTAGACATTACTTCGAATACATTTGCTATGCAGAATATCTCGTGGAAGTTGCCAACGCTACGGCACCAGCTAGTGCGTGGGAACATTTCGTCAGCCAGTCTAACTGGTCGCAGTGTCAGCGACAGGTCCTCCGCCCGAGCAACGTGCTCTCATTGTATAGCGGTGCGAAGCTCAATTTGGCATCCATACAAACTCACCGAACACCGAGACCTGGATGGCCCATGCGACCCAACATAACCACTGTACTCAGCTCGTTCACGAGGATAGAATGCCGTATCAATAGAGGTTGGCAATGCGTATAGCCTCGAATCACAAGATTCTGTACCAACACGCCTACGTAAGGTGAAACGGAAACTCCTCCTCTTAACACAACGGGTGGACCTACGCGGACACCAAAGGAGGCGGCGAATACCCTGTGCCTACAATATGCTGCAACATTTCAGTGCGATCACTGACCACATAACCCTATGACAATGGTTGTTTCACCCCCCGCCCCCCCCCCAAAACTCACTCACATATCCTTTACGGCAGAAGCTGTACTAGAAGAGCTGTTAAGAATGCGCAACCACAGTTCTCCTGGAGTTAATAATATACGCACGAAGTCGCTAGCGGCGGTAGGAGATAGTTTATCCGAGTCTTTGACTCTATTCTTCCAACACTGTTTTGACGAAATGTACGTGCCCCACATGTGGAAACACGGGATGATGATGATTCGCAGACAGCAGAACTTCCTCAGTCTCGTCTGCCGAGTTTAGTGTTACCCGAAGTAACCAGTGTTCGCCGTAGTGCAACGCGTTTGGGTGACGCGAGATTCTGTTTAATGTCGTGGGATTAGCATGGACACCGATCGATGTACAGATGAAACCCCACTGATTTCGATCGTCCGTCAACTTACCCTTAATTGTATTGGATTTGGACTCGGGGACATTTGTGCATACAATGTTTAGGGCACCATGGTTGCGCCTGGTGGCTACTGGTTTTGGATTTGGAGGCTTAGTATCCGGTGTTTTTGGTGAATTTGTGAACGGCACTGATGGCTGCCATCCGTGCTGCGACACTTGTTTTCTCTACTCCGGGCACAAAGGTTATCGGGGCTCTTTCCGGTGTCTGCTTGGCGGCAACCGATGCATACGTTACCGGATTGTTCACTATGGCTGGTCGACTGTAGCTTACGGTCTCAAGTGTCGCGAACAGACTACTAGGTGCAGCACACAGTACAGAAGTTGAGGCAGGCGCGCTGCAGGCAATGTTTTTACTTATAGGAGGGAGAGAGAATGTAGTTGAAACCCGTGGAGGCTGAGTCGTTGGGGTTAGGTTGGGACGCCTGGCTCGTCTCTTCGACCTGGCTAAGGAATTCGGGTTGTTATTTTTACTTACAAGTGCAGGTCCGTTTCCTCCCATGGGTGTAACTCTGTCGCTCACCATTTGCTCGACTGCTTCTGTTAGTCTTTCACACCTCTTCAGTAGCACAGCTAGACAGCTAACAAATGGAATAGAATTGCATACTTGGCAGAACCAAAACGCCACTGCGGTGTTTGTTTTTGTCGACCCCTTCCCAAGGCAGGTAGTGTGATAGGATTTCGAACACATGGTACACACCAGACCAATTTTTACCACTTTGGCACATGATTCGCATTTGCTCTTCATACGAGACATGTTCTCAGTAGGGGTAGGAAGAGGATGGAGATACTGACGCACCGTTGCGTGGCGATCGGCGCTGGTTTGAGGTCAGCGGGGTCATGCTTGTCGCGGCCAGATGAGTCACACGTTTCTTAGGGTAGATAGGCGACGTGCGTACTATCGATCCAGCTGGTAAATTGATAGGCAGCAATGCAGTGTAGGATTGAGGCAAAGCAAGATGACTTGGAAAATACTGTCTAATGACGACAGTGGTTGTTCCAAGGGCGCATAAAATTGACGACTATCGCTTTGTACATCGACTTGAAGGAATGGTAGTAAACTGATCAGGTGACTCTCAAAAGGATCTTTAAAATAAGACCACAAGAGTTCTTGTGTGATGAGAGGAAAATACATCCTCCGATAAGGTTCAAATACTTTTGACTTCGAAGTTGTAAGAGCACAGTTTGCTGGTGATCCGCGAATGATAGATCCAATAGATGAACAGTAGTAAGAAGAGCTCGCGGAGCCAAATCGAATGATGGCACGTAGGTCTCTGTGAGAATAAATCCAAAGTTTTAGAGGCGAATAACGCAGGAGGACTCTTTTTGCGACCGCTCGGGAGCGACAGTCTACATCGGCGCCTGGAAGTACATGTGCGTGAATCGTTGTCAGATCCCATCCGAGTTGAATGCGGAGTACCACATGGATCGGTAGTAGAACCGCGACTATTTTTGACGTATATTAACGATATCACACGCTTCATAAGCTCGAAATGCCTGCTTTATGCCGATGATATCAAGCTGTGGAGCGTGATCAATACACCAGATAATATCACAGTACTTCAAGCTGATCTAGAGGTGGACACTTGTAGACTGCTGCACTTACGGAACTAGGTGGTGTACTCCTACAAACTCGCTAACATGGAGCTTCATACGTCTTCTGGTGAAAAGGCTCTGGGAGTTTTTGTCCAGGTCGATCTTGGATGTTCGAATCAGGGCAATCCAACATGTGGGCATCCTGAAGCGGGTATTCGGACAGTTCGACCTTTCGATTTTTTCCACAGTTTCTCGGCTCATACATACGTCCACATGTGGAATACGCAATACACTTCTGGCAACCAGGGTTAGGTGAGATCTCACCGCCTTGGAGATACCCCAATGCCGGACAAACATGAATGTCAAGGATCTGTATACTTTTCCGTATGAACGTAGACTACAAGTACTCGGGGTCTTCAGCGGAAAGTATCGGCGATTGCGCGGGGATCTCGTTTTGACTTGTTTTGTGAGATCTCAACCACACGTTCCTCTACTTGCTAGAGCTCAGTCTCGACAGCAATTTGTAAGGCCACCATCTCAAGCTGGCGAAGCAGCACAGTCGTTTAGAATGCCGTCGTTATTTCTTTTCCGTACGCGTTTGCAGAACGTGGAATGCCCTACTGGAATCTCTCATAGGTGCTCCCACGCTGGCAGTGTCCAAAGCCCGAGTTGACTGTGCACTTATTTCGCTGCACCATCTTACATGACCCATTACCCACGGATAAACACAAGTGTCTGCAAAGTGATCTAACTGGCGGTCCGAGATTTCGTCCCACTTTTTTCACCTCTAGTATGTGTACGCCAGGTGGAGATGCGGTTTTTACAAACATCCCATTTACCGTCATTCCTTATGGGCTTATTTTGGATTTACAGTTTATACTTGATATATTTTAGTGAGTTCACCGGTGTAAACCCAATTTTGTTAACTTTTTATATTTTGTAGTTTCACCATAACCATCCTACGGGACCTGTTAAGATTTAACATTTTTACTCGTATAAAACTATTCTTCCGTCCCCGTTGGTACATTACTGAGAC